GGCCCCGGCCCGGGGAGCTCTCGAGCGGCCGCCGGACAGCGCGCGGGCTCGCTGCAGCTCCGGGTGCGCTGCTCAGGAGAGGAGCGACCCGGTCTGGCTGAAGATGTCCCTGCCAGTTGCGGGGGGATGGACCAGATGAGCTTTACAGGTCCCTTCCGTCCCAAAGCATTCCGGGATTCCATGCTAAGCCCCGCTGCAGGGTGTTGAGTTGAGGGTGGCAGGAAAGCCGACGCCCTTTTCCTTCATCGCGAGCTGGCGTTTCGCTCGGCGCCCCGCGGGGACGTGCGCGCGGCAAACGCCGCTCTCCCCCGGCCTGTCTGAAGCTTCATCTGGTTTCAGACTTCTTCCGTTCACCGTTACGAGCGCTCGCTGCAGGCACGTCGTACATCCCTGAAACCCGCTGGCCTCCCACCTGGCTGCCTTCTGACACAGCCTGTCCGGTAGCGTTGGTCCGACGCCTTCGTTTTCCTGCCCCTCCACAGCTCTACCGAAATCTTAACTGTTTGGTTGGGTTTTTTTGTTTACGTTCAGTAAGAGCAGAGGATGCTCATGGTCTAGCCCAGCGTGATTGAAGGAGAGCGCCTGAACTGCAGCATCAAGGTTCTCTCAGTGCTGCCATCCAGCGCAGCGAGGCCTTCAAAGACCGTTCACCTTAAATCAGGTCCCAGACAGACAGACAGAGCCTGTGCTGTCACGTGTGGGACTGACAGCCGCCTGTCACTCTCCGACTTCTGCAGTCGCTCAGGTGACATTGGCACCCAGCTGCGCAAGCCTACCCTGCGCGGTGGTTTGTGCGCTCGCCAGGGAAGCTACCAGCCTAGCGCGCGCGCGCGTTGCGACTCGATCAAACCGCTTTTAACGCGTCTCTTCTTTTATGCTCTCGTGGGCAGGCGGGTGAAAGGAGCCGATCTCCAGGGTGTGCCCAGCCCGCCCTCTCAAGCAGGTTCGGGGGGGCTGTCCCCTGGCATCCTCTCCCTGTGGGTCAGGACTAGGATACAACCCCGCAGTGAACTTCAGAACTCGCATCGTGACCGTGTGCTGTTTGTCCCCTGTCGACAGGGCGCCCCGGCTCCTGCTGCATGCGGGACTGATAATGGACATAACTGGAGCGATCGTGCTTCTCCTCGAGCAGCTGCCGCAGCAGCCAGGCAGAAGGTACAGAAAACCTACTCTTCTCAAACACTAGGCACCTGCTACCAGCCTGAATTCTGGCCCGGGGACGTGATTTTCTTGCCTCTTGCTGGAGAAGCAAGTAAGTCAACAGCACAACAGCAAGCTCTGATTGCTTCTTTTTTTTTTTTGCTTTGTTGCATCCTTGCCTCTCCGAGATAACCCCCTCCCTCCTCACACTCTGCAGTGCTTGCTGATTTCTGCCAAGCGAGCGTTGCAGAAATTCCAAGCACCTTGCAAAGCAGCCTGCCCAGCAGTTATGTGGATCCTTGCCTGCTGGTTTTACAGCTGGGCGGGCAAGCGCAACAGCTTGGAATAACGTCTGTACGGCAGGGGCTCCTCTCGCTCAGCCAGCTAACGTGTTCTCTGCTCAGCCTCCGGCCTGTGGGCCGAGACCCTTTGTTAGGGCACAGATCAACCTTCTCCCGCAGCTTCAGCCTCTGCACCGCAAGAACATTGCAAGAGGCAACAGCTTGCGTGGAGGACTTTGTGTTAAAGTCGTAGCGGCTGCCACATGTCAAAATGCCTCTGCAACTTGAGATGTGTGCAGCTGGAGCAAAAACTTGCCTTACTGAAGGAAATGAGATTGGTCACCTTTCCCCACCTTGCTTCTAAATTTGAGTCCTTATGTCACGATACTCATCATCTCCACACGCAGCTCTTGGGAAGCTACCTGCGGCAGGACCTGAGAAAACAAGCTTGGTTTGAAAACACACGGTACGTGTTTCAGAAGCAGGGAGCCAGAAGGAATCATAGGCCAAACAGAGATCTCATGAGATCTGCAAAAGAGAGAGAGAGGAAGTTGCGATAGTTACTTGGAGCAGAATGACTGCTCAGGCACTGACGCCACAGCCTCAGCTCTTATCCATGTTAACGTGATAGGTATTGTTTTGCTGAGCAACGCGATACTGAGATGAAGGCTCTGTGTTTTAATGTAGCCTGGTTTGTTCCTATTGCTAGGTTGGTTTCGTTAAAGAAGGGTTCTTGGCTGGTCTGGTGACCAAGCCCCGCTCCTGAGGCTGGCTCTACAGGGATCTCTGAGTGTCTGGTATCATCTCCTGGACCTGCTGTCCGGCAGTGCTGGTGACTGCGTACTGGCTTGGGTGCCTGTCCGTATCCCCCCCACCGTGGGAACCTTGTCACGTCTGACTCGCTCTGCGTTTTGCGGGGCTCCTGCCCTCTGAAACGTACCCGGTTCGCTCATGCTTTGGCGCACCAAGTCGAGAGCCTCTTTGGGCAGAGCCTGCGCCTCCTCCTGGAACTTTCTGCGTCCTTCTGGAGTCAGCTTCCAGAGGCAGGACTTGCGGTTTCCCTCGCCGCACACGAAGCCGGTGTTTTTCTCAAAGCAGCTGCTGAAGCACAGGTTGTGTCGGATCGTGTTTTTCCAGCCCTCTGGGGCCGTTTGAAAAAATGGGAAGTGCTGCCTGCGGAGAGAAAAGATTTGTCCTGAGCTGAAGCGATTAGCGGCTGTGATAAATGACAGAATGCATCGCATCCGAGCAAGGGAAGGAGGAGAGTGTCCTCCCTGACCCCTGTGGTGTAAGGATGGCTGGCACAGTTGAGCACTGTGTTTTTTCTAAGGAGGGTAAGACAAAACTAAAATGCTGGCTCTCGAGGCTCCTGGGTGTGGGTGTTGACAAAGAGGGGAAGCAGTTTTCTCAGCGGCATCTTGAGCCGAAGGCAGAGCTGAGAGCAGAATGCAAGTCCTGGCTGCCACGTCCCTGCTCCCCAGTAGAAGATCAGAGACTCCCGTACCCCTCGTCGTCCCTCGTCCCCTCACTCTGCGCCAGGAGCTGGGAGAAGGGCGGGTACCGTGTGAACTGGTAGATCTGCTGTACGGTCAGACTGCCACTTGCGCTGTTGCACAGGGCGAGGGCGATGAGGATGCAGTAATTAAGGGGGGGACGAGGCCAGCCTCCCTCGATTTTGGCGCTCATCTCCCTGGGGCACTTGAGCTTCACGCTCTGAGGCCTGAGGACTGCAGATTTCCGAGGCATCAGCGTTGCCTTGAGTTCGGGAGTTTCCGGCGTCTCCTGAGGAACCGGGATGTCCACACACGAAGCATCTTCACCCTCCATAAGCTGTGGAGAGGAAGGATAAAAAGGCCGGGGATATATTAGCCCTGGGTGGAATGAGGGGCGGGGATAAGCTGCCTTGTTCTGGGGGAGGGCGGGTCTGGCAGAGTGCGTATAGAAAGCTTATATACTTTTAAGTTTCAGCCTCCTTCCCTGCACTTTGTACTCTCAGCCTGTTCGTCAGACGGGCTCCATGCATTGACTGACCCCTGCTGAAACGGGAGGTAACCGCTCGCGGAGCTGCTGGGCCGGTTGCTCCTGCGGGATCATTAAGCGCATACGATGCCTAGGACTGCCCAAGCAGTTCCCTTTTTTATACCTTTCCAGCCT